CTAGGTGGAACAAAGAGTATGTACAAACTTGGTGTTAGACATGGGAATCTAAAATAAAAATCATATTTATATTTCTTTATAGCTTTAAGATATATATCATTAAAAGTTGGACTTTTATATTTAAAAAATTATACTGCTTTGCAGCAATTATGGTTTGTTGTATTTAAGTTTTATAAGGACTATACCCCTTCCAGACAGTTTGGGCCCAATTTGCTAAGAAGTAAACAACAAAATAGAATATATACATATACATACATACATACATACATACATATATATATACATATATATATATATATATATATATATATATATATATATATATAAAATTTATTGTATTATAATTTTTCTAATTAAAAAATTTATAAATATTGACTATAGTCTAACTAGACCTTTAAAATGCTTTATATAAATTAATACATGCATAGAAATAATGTTTTTATATTTTATTTTACTTTTATAATGCTCCATATCTATTTCCAGTTTGGCATTCCAATACAATAACGCTCTATTTTTTGTTCTGTGGTTAGGAAATATGTTATTAATTGGATGGTCAATATTTGAAGGCATCTAATCAACGACCTACATAGAATCGAGCTGTTTAAGAAAATATTTATACATAATTATAAAATAGCAAATGGAACTTTAGATTTAGATAAAATCACTCTGAAATGTTTGAGAATTAAGAACAACTTCAAATGTTATATCAACCTATCAAGTAATATTTCTAAATACTATACAGTGACTTTTTATAGCTTAAAGTGACTGCATTCATATTGTATTACATTTAAATTTTAAACCCAAAAAAGCTATATATCAGAAAAACTATTTCTGTATTTACTACCCAATATACCATAAATGCAATTTTGCTTCCATAAAAACTTAAATCACCTTGGTTGCAGTTACTATTAAATTTTGTAAACATAACTATTTTTTGGTTTGCTTAAGCAAACCTGTAAAGGGACTGGGATGGTAGTGGATATATTTAGAATATTCTTGGATATTCTAGGATATTTTACCATCCAATGGTTGTTATTTATTTAGATTAATCTTGTATTTATGATTTATAACCATGTTTATAATTTATAAACTTTCTTAAACGCTTTCTAGTATATTCTTTTTTATTCTACCATCTAATGGTTGATAGCATGTATTTATAAATTATAAATATTTTTATAATTCTAATTTTTTATTTGATCAATTGGATTAATAAGTAGTAATTAAGCAAACCAAGCGTTCTTACATGCAACGCGTAGCAAATTATCCTTACTAGTATAAAAAAATACATTTTCTTTTTAATAGTAATCTCTAATAAACATTTATAACAATCCCTCTAATTTACTTTATGCTGATGAACTAGGTCAAAATCTCCTTTCCACTTATTAGATCTAATGCACAGTGGAAGATTGGAGATTGTAAGCCTCACCATGACAAGTTTTCCAAAATGCACCTAGAGGAAATGTTTATGAGAAATCAACTCCTGCCACCTGGGAAAGTCCTCTTGCTACAAAGCAATCTTTGTAGCGCAGCACCTCAGCAGCATCAAGCTTGAGCCTGAACAGCATTCGTGCTGACCACCCTCCTTCCTGCCTGCTGCGAATGGTACTCCTCCTCCATAGCTGCACGCCATTGTTTTGCCTATGGAGAAGAGCCTGCTTGACAGAGTTCAGCTACTGCTGCAAAATATTTGTGTCCATGCGATTCTCAGACTTCAAATGCACATTAGGACAAGTAGCTCACTAGCTCGATGTGAAGACAGAATTTCTTTATGGAGAGCTCTAGGAGGAGGTCTTTGTCTCCCATTTCGTCCAGCGTGTGCGTGCCAAGTGTGGCACACACTATCACACACACGCAAGCCAGTTCCATTCCTCTATGTGCTTGATTGCTCATTTCAGATTTCTCTTGGGCAAGAAAGTGATATAGCAATTTTCTATCAACTAAAATGGACACATTATTCTTTACTGTTTACATTTTATATTGAAACATTAGCTTTATTATACTTTTATTACCACAGAACAATTCATAGTTGACAGTAGAGAGGGAGCATTTATGGTATGCCGTGTGGGTACTCTCGTATGTAATCTGGATACTTCACCAGATGACCTACCTCGAATTTCGACATAGCCAAGGAATAAAATTGATGATTAATGTCGCCAATCCTGCATATCCCAAACAAAGGGATCTCCTGCACACCACTAGGGAAGATCTCTTCTGGAGTAAGACAGAGGAACCTTTCCCCACCATCCACAACCACGTAGAGACCATCAAAACGAGTCTCCACCTTGCCACTATGTTGGAAAGAAGCACCTAGCGCGTGCAACTGAGGTGCCCCTCTGTGGCTCTCAATAAGAGCCCTGAACCTTGAAACAACAGCTTGCTGGCGGACTCTATTTCGGTGTTGAACATCCCAGGCATCCCTTGCCGCACGATACATGTCTTCCATCGCTTGCACTCTTGTGTCATATGCAGCCTTGAGGCGCTCGTACTCGGGTCGTGAACGACCCCAGCAAGTAGGCGCCACAGGGCGTGGTGCCCTTGTGGGCGGTGGAGCCTCCGGAGAAGTATCAAACCCAAAGCGTCGCAAATCAGGAGGAAGTTCCTCCTTGGGGAGAAGGCCCATCAAACGAAAAGATTGGGCACTAGAATGCCATTTTATGAACTCCTGCCTGCGTGCGTTTTGCTTCTTTACAGGAGCTATTCTCACTGTGGGAAGATCGAAGTGAGAAACGTAGAACCGCAGCAACTCCAAAGCAGCCTCCTCCATTGTGTCGTCGCTGAAGAGGGCTCAGTAAACCTAATGCTATATATAGCAAACTACTTATCTTTTTGCTTCAATCTCTAGTAAGCTCTCTAGACAAAGATCGCTGATGAGCTTTCGCAGTCCGGACCTGTGGCTCCCCCGCTCGTGGCCACGCAAACTCCCACGGAAGCTTTGCACAGCTCGTCCATTTGCTGAGCAAGGCCGCGAAGTCGACGGCGAGGAACACCTCCTGACAGCCTGAGCTTGCACTCGTTGACGATCGCTGCCACTGCTGGGTTGCTTCGTTCTTCCAGGACGCTGCTTCCTGCTTTGCTTTCTCCACGCATTCCTCGTCCCCATGTACGTACAAGGAATGCCACTGGAGCTCCCACTGATTTTTCCAGCCCGGCTAAGTCGACCCCGGATTTTCCAACCAGAACTCTCATCATCCCAAGTGGACGTCAGTGAGATCTGTCGCTCCTTCTGGTTGCATTCATTGCAGCTTCGTCCAGCAGGCCGTCTTCAAAAGGAGCGCCTTCCACCAGTTTATCTAGAGCTGCCTTTGCAAGCTCCAGGACGAGATCTCGATTCGCTTCGTACCATACGCCTTGGGAGATACCTTCACAAAGTGGTTTCCTGCTTGAACATGAATGAAGAGTAGTAGCATACCTTCAAAGTCAACTGTGTTATCCGCGCTTCTTCATTTCGTTGTCGCTATCAGCCGTGCTTGCTGCTCCATTCCCGGTACACGTCCAAGAGGCTGAACAGGTCTCCATGCCGATGACAGCAGCGCATCTTCCGGCGGTCTGCCAGGAGCTTGCTTCTTCAGAGCCGGCTCGGAAGAAGATGGTCATCACAGGGTACTGACTTCTCGACCACAACAGTGAGCCTGGCTGTTGAGGATGATCTTGCCTAGCCGTGGCTCCACTCCTATCTTGGCCAGTTTTTCGTGAGCCTCCAGTTCTTCACTTCATCATCCGCCTAGTGCCAGGAGCCTGATAATCCCCATGTGAGAACGGGAAATTTCCGAAGTCCCCACCAGAGCATTGTCGTCAAAGTCTTCATCGCTGTACAATCTGTAGCAGACACCAGAACTAGTGCGCCCTGCACGACCAGCTCTTTGAGTCGCGGCTTTGACTGATTGCCGTAAGCTCCAGCGTTGTCATCCCAGTCTGTGGATCAAAGATGGCTTGCTTTGACAATCCTGGATCCACCACGTACCTAGAAGCCGAGAAAGCGAGTATCAGCTACATGCTTCAAGGAAGATTATCGTAAAAGAACTTTGAAGTACCTGATTCCTGGCATCGTCAAAGACGTCTCGGCGATATTTGTTGCAAAGACCATCTTTCCCGTACCAGGTGGTGCCGCCTCGAATACCAGTTGCTGATCCTCTTGACGAAGCCTTCCATGAAGAGGCAGCACAAGTGCATGCGGCGTATTTGCCAATCACTGGCAGACCCATTCGATATCCGTGAGGAAAGCCAATATATCTCCCTCAATCGGCCTCCTTGTGAAGCTCGCAAACTCTTTCCATTGTCCTTGTTATGTGGTTGAAGTCTCGTGCTGTTCGTAGTGGATCTCAACTGGGAAATTCCTTCCAGGAACGAAAAGCTCGGCATCGGCTGTAGCTGACATAACGATGACTCTCAAGTGCGCGTAAACATTCCTTCAGCACTGCTAGGAGTAAATCCGTACCATTTTGGCAAGGTCTTGTTGAGCCCTGTATTCCAAGAGGCCAATGGAATTCGTCTTCTCAGCGGCATCCTTCGGCAACCCGTCGTGCAAGAGCAAATACTGCTACTTTCCTTGGCTGTGTACAAACGATGGAAATTCCCGTTGCTCGATAAACCACCATCACATAAATACTGCATGAGTCCAGTGCTCTTCCCAGAGCCAGTCTCACCAATCAGCACAGTGACCTGTAGCAGTGTTCATAGTTTAATGCGATGAAACCAAGATAACAAAAAAGCTTGTGGTTGGTACCTGATTAGCTCGTATATTTTGAAGGATGAAGGATGTAAACGTCGAGGCGAGTCCCTGTAGCAGCTTCCAGTGAACGATCGATTCTTGCAGCTCCTGCTCGGCTTTGTCCCACTGGTGTAGTGAAAAGTTCTTAACTTTGTTGTTCCTCCTCTGAATGCTTTCGTGCTGCTCCCTCATCGTCTTTAGGATACCCTCTACTGCGTCGCAGCTCCTCAAGCGACCAATGTCCGCGGCCTTGTCGAGGTAGCAAAGCTTTGGACCGCGGCTGGAATGATGGCGCAACACCAGCTTCGTTTCAGGCACCAACGCCTCATCCGGCGGCGACCTCTCCAGCTCGATGAAAGCGTAGGCCCATGGATCGCTGCGCTGCCTAGGCACAGACACAAAAGCACCAGATTTCTACCAGGGAAGCGGCGAGCAAAGATTTCGGCGATTCTACTGCCAACAACGCCAAGATTCAGGCCAGAAATTTCTCGCAAAATGCAGTCTTGCCTCTTGTGGGGACGATCCAGCGCCCGCCGCTTCCAGCTCCGCAGCGCCAATGCGAACCCTAAAACGCTTGAGCGGGAAGGAGGAGTTCTTCACTCTCCCAGAAAGAACCTTCTTTTTATCTCTCTAGGCGTTAAACTAGTTTAAAACATAAACATTAGCTAGTTTTAATGAAAACGAAAAGTATCCCATCAATGAAAACGAAAAATAACTTATAAAGGTCTTCTCATCTATAATACTTATTCTATTACTTCATCACCTTTCAATGCTTCGCTTCATTTTTCAATTCTTCAATATATGCTTCTTCTGCAGCCGCATACCGGTCATACCCTGGAGGCACTTCTTCATCGGATCTGTAAAACTCGAAGCCTAGGCCTGCTTCGTATAAAACTTCATCCAGTCGCTGAAAATATTCCCAGATAAGGGCCGCAAGAGGACAGGGTGGCTCAGGCACAACCATGATTCCCAAGTCTGGATGTTTTTTGCAGATCCGTTTGAGGTTTTCGTATTCAATCCGTTGGACGCAGAAACGAGGATGGTATTGCGGGAAGTCTGCTACCTGAACGATATAACCCACCTGAAAACGTACACAAATAAACATACAAAGAAACAGAGAATAGAAACTGATACAAACCTGAAGACGAAGTCTCTTCATTGGTCCAGTGTAAGTCCTCTCTGCCCAGTCCTCATTTCGCAGGGGATCTCTTGAACATTGATAAGTATCGTGTCCCTTCACTAGGCAGAGGTAGCATTTCTTTTGTTCATGAGCAAAAGGATCCACTCCAGGCTAAAAGAAGAAACAAAAAGTCAAATCTGGGAAATAATTGAGCTTTCTTACCCCCTTGCAGTGTCTTTCCCAATGGCCTCTCTGCTTACATCTTCTGCATTGGTCGACGAGTAAGCCCTCCTCCTCACCCGGACGATGAGTTCCTATGATCTCGTACCTGTTACAAACAAAAGCAAGTAAAGATCAAACTCAGTCTTGCTTACCTTGCTCGCCTGCGTTCAGCAGGGTTCTCGATTGCAAAAATGTCCACCTCCTTGGGCTTTTCCTTTGTGAACACATTGTGTTGCCCGTTGCTGCTGCCGCCGTAGGCCTTCTTGTGCTGCCCGTTGCTACTGCTGCCGTCGTAAGCCTTCATCCTCAAAAAGGAAATGTCTAGAACCCACAGGTAGCTGTTCTTGTCCCTACTGTATTGAAAAGATACGTTTAAGATACGTTTAATCCCTTATCTGGAGGAACGAAGCAATGCAATCAAAGAGGGCCTTGAGAAGAGCTTTGGAACAAGATGTAGCTCCGATGCGCGACCACAGTCTGGGCGGCACAAATAATTAGGTTTCCATGAGCGACCGAGCTTGGCGATCGATTACCTGGCAGGCGGGAGAATCAATCGAATCGATCTCACTGATGCAACCCTCAAACGCTAACCTTTATACCACGCATATTCTTAAGTAAGATAAGGGTCAGGATTTGTCCCATAAGAACTCTCCAATTCAGCAAAAGAGAGATGAGAAGGGAGGAAATGCTCCCTGAACAAACAAGCCGAGCAAGTGGAGGGAAGCTGGAGAAAGAGAAAGAGTACAAAAGAATCCGTGCAGCAATATTAATAGATATTCAGAGTATATATTTAAAATGTGCTTTTGTTATTTAAGTTATATATAGAGACTAACAAAGAATCCGTCTATTCTGGCCTACATAGAATTAAATAGATGCTTTAATATGAAGTAATAAAGTACACACACATAACAAAAAGATACGTAAGTTTTACATTTTAATCAAGAAACAGCTGGTTATTGTTCAATATATTTTGATAATAAATATGCACATTTGATTATTACAAAGAAAATGACTTTATAAAAAGGATCACAAAGCATTAGATTAATTTGATTGGTGAGGAAATCTTAGAAAGTACAATGGTTCATTAAATTCTTAAGATGTAAGAAGTTCTAGCTTCCTATTAATTGGATAGTTAATATTTTAAGGGATCTCATCAACTTGCATAGAACTGAGCTGTTTAAGAATATATTTATATATAATTATAAAAGAATAAATAGAACATTACATTTAGAAAAAATCACTCTGAAATGTTTGAAAATTAGGCAAAATTTCAAATGTTATATCAGCCTATCAAGTAATATTTCTGAATACTATATAGTGAGTTTTAATAGTTTAAATTGACTGTATTCTTATTATATTACATTTAGATTTTAAACCCCAAAAAAACTATATAACAGAAAAATATTTTTGTATTTACTACCAAATATACCATAAAATGCAATTTTACTTCCATAAAAACTTAAATCACCTTGCTTGCAGTTATTATAAAATTCTGTATACACACAACTATTTTTTATACTGTTCTTACTTCAGCCAATTCTATCTTACTATTATAAAAAATACATTTTATTTTAAATAATAATCTCTAATAAAAATTTATAATTCTACAATCCCTCTAATTTTCTTTAACTAGGTCAAAATTTCCTTGAATCAATGTAATAAGCCTCGTTTTCCAGAATGTACCCAGAGACGTCATTCAAGCACGCCGTCCAGTATTCATACGAACCAAATGAGCCAGATCGGATCTGGTGTAGACTACCAGTACTCTCCTTGGACGTTCGAAACTCCAATTTAACCACAGCAGACGCCTTAGTCGCAGAGGGATCATCCTTGCAGCTTCTTACCAGATGATGGGTTCTTCAAATGGTGGTTACAATTTCAAGTCTTTCCGTGCTTGTGAACTCATCCCTGGATACCAGTCCTTGGACGCTGCCACTTCTTTGGTCGCAATGAAGTGGGATCTGCAGTAGAAGCGCTGGAACATAGTCGTAGATAGAGTTCGCTGCTTCAAAGTTAAACGTCGTCTTTTCATTACCTGAAATGCCAGCAGACACTGGACGACATGAGGTCCATTGAAATCACAATCATTTTTTCTACTTTTTTCCTTTCAAGCACCAGCCCAGTCCAAAGTTTGCAAGTTCTTCATGAAAACTCTAATTCGAAACACTGTGTGTAATTGTCTAGTGCGCAGAGTCGGCTCGCGAGACGACCTACTTCGCTGGAAAAGCCCATGTCGACTGTCCGATGATTTGCTTCCCTTTCTTGCTGCAATGCAAGGCGAAAACTAATGAATTCGTTGCTGGATTTAGAGCGGAACTTCCAAACGGATGGGGCGGGCTTGGATAAAAAAAAAGTGGGAGGAGCTAAAGAAGAAATTAGGAAGAAGCTCGAGGTCGGATCTAATCTCAAAATTTTATTCGTCAAATAGTGGCATTTTCGAAAAAATTAAAGGATGTTCTTGTCATGGATCTCATCATCGAATGCGTCTCTGATTCCTGCACCAAAAACCTCCACAAACACGTAAAAGAACCACAAAAATAACCAACGAGTCAAAGGAATATGCGCCCGCACCATTTTCTAGTGGCGTCTGCGACGCCGGCGGCGCCGCCCGCCCTTCCTCGACCGCGACCGCGATCGCGATCGCCGTCCACCCCGGCGGCGGCGGCGCCGCCCGCCCTTCCGCGACGTCGATCTCGATCTCGACCGTCCACCTCTTTTACGTCGCCCGCCTCGTCCACTCTTGCCAGTGGCCACCGCAAAGCGGCCGCGCACACGCTCCAGCCGCCCCGCTCGGACCAGCCCGCGCAGCGATCGCCCCACCTGGGCCTGGAAGCGCTTGGGGAGATCGTTTCCATACTTCTTCTTGATCTTCCGGGCCACCGCCGCAGCTGTGACACCTCTCTTGGCTTTGAGCGACGCCAGAGCATCGCGCACCGCGAGTTTCATCTTTGGCACGCGGATTTTCTTGCCACCCCGGCTCCGGCTCCGGCTCTTCCTCCGTCGAGCCATGATCTTCTACTTCGTTTGTTCGATCGCCCAAGTTCTTCCTCCTCCTCCTCTTCAAGAGCTCGACTCTTTGGCCAAAGTGGCCAAGAGTTACACTCGAAGAGGAAGAGGCCAAGCGGCGGATCTGGAGGGGCGCCGCTAGGCCGCACGATCCTCCGCCGCGGGAATCGGTGACGTGGAGAATCCGACGGCTTGTGTTAAATCGGAATCAATCTCCGCGCGAAAGAATCATACCTTTAATGTTTTTCTATGAAACCATCGCTGCCTCTCTATCTGCATCGAGCATCGCTTTGATGTAGAACTCTCCAGCTTTGTAGGAGGATCTCACCATTGGGCCAGAAGCCACATATCGAAATCCCTGTAAGAAACAAAGGAAAAAGAGATTGTCACGCTTCAGCTGGCAAAAAAAAAAAAAACCAAAAACACTTCGAAACTTCGAAAACGTACCATTTCCATTCCGATTCTTCGATAGTTCTCGAACGCTTCCGGAGTCACGTACTCGGACACTGGCATGTGTTTCTTCGTCGGTCGCATGTACTGCCCGAAAGTCATCACGTCCACGCCGGCGTCTCTCACTCTGGCCATGGTCTCCAAAACCTGTGAAGATGTCTCGCCACAGCCCAGCATGATCGAGGTCTTGGTGAGAACCCCGCGAGGACCTTTCAGCTTGGCCATCTTCAAGACGTTGATGGATTGCTGGAAGTTTGCTCGCCTGTCTCGGACCGAGCTCTGTAGCTCTTGCACGGTTTCTATGTTGTGCGCAAAGACGTCCAGTCCAGAGGTGGCCACTTTCTCCACGCAGTCGGGATCGCCTCGAAAGTCGGGAACTGCGACAGAAGACGACGTTAGTTCCTCCAGATGTTGGCATAAGCTCACCTAAGGCCTCAACCAGCATGCCCGGCTTGCGTTGCTTGATCCTCCTCACTGTCTCGGCGAAGTGCCCGCTTCCTTGATCGGGTAAATCATCCCGGTCCACGCTCGTGAGCACCACATACTCGAGGTCCCAAGAGGCAATCGCTTCAGCAACTTTGGCTGGCTCGTCTGCATCAGGTGGAGGTGGAGCTCGCGATGTCTTCACTGCACAAAATCTGCACGTCAGGAACGAGAAAAATGTTAACACGAGAAAGAAAAAAAGTGTACAAGTAGCTTCACAAAGGAATGGAAAAAACTAACAATGAAACTTCACGCAAAATAAACAGAAAGCAAACCAGCATGGAATCGCAAGAGAAAGCTAGCAATGGTGAAGAACTCAACGTTATCTAGTTAGAGCAAGCAAACTACCAAGAAAAAAAACAATGTGTTGAACAGTACCAAGAACGAAACAATGGAGAAGAGAGTACCAAGACAAAACCAGATCTAGTATGTCGAGAAAGAGTACAAAGAAAGAAACAATGGAGCAATGATCTAGTATGCTGAGAAAGAAAAGATCTAAAAAAATGGAGCAATGATCTAGTATGTTGAGAAAGAAAAGATCTAGAGTACCAAGAAGAAAAACCAATACTGTCCAGCAAACCAGCAATGCATCCAAGAACAAACTAGCAAGAAAGAAGAAAGCTTACCGGCAGCCTCTGGTGCACGTATCCCCCAGGATCATGATCGTCGCAGTGGCCGTGCCCGTGTCGCCACCGCTCCAGCACTCTCCAATATTTGGGCATTTGGCCTCCTCACACACGGTATTCAATTTGAGCTCCCTCAGCTGCGATTTGATCCTCGTGTACTTCTCCCCACCTGGAATGATCCGCTTCATCCAATCCGGCTTGCGCCGCGGATCCTCCCGCGTCCCCACCGCCACCGAGTAGCCTTCCACACCCGAGCCCTGGCTCACGAAATCCTTAAGCTCCGGCGCATCGCTTGCCAATCGCTCTCGGAACGCCGCCAGCGCCGGAGAGATCGGGATCGGAGAGGCCGCCTCGGACTGCGCGGCGGACATGAGTGGATTGAGCCTGCGCAGCCAGCGAGCCATGGCCACAAAAAAGGAGAAAAAAATGCGAAGAACCCTAATTTCCAAAATGATAATGGTTTCACGCTTGAGCATATTCTAAGTATATTCTCTTCAAAAGGCAAGGATCAAACTATTTAAGGGATTCCAAGTTCTAGGGTTGCAAGAAAATGGTGAACACTTCAAAGAAGGAGGTAGACATGTCCCAACACGAGGAAGAGATGAAACGGAGAATGATAGAGGCGTTGAGGGCTCGTTCTCGTCAAAAGTATCTCAAGACTAGGCAAGAAAAAATAATGGCGCAGCTCAGAGACAGTTTGTTAGACGAGAAATTCTTGTTTGAGGGCGAGAAGCTAAGCAAGAGGGAGGAGCGGGAGATTGCTCACAAGAGAAAGGTGTATGAAATTGCCGTGAAGATGGACACCAAGGATAGCGACAACTACTATCGGATTCCCGAGGACTTGAGAACCAAGGTTGCTTTGGAGCGTGACAAGGCTTTGCAAGTCCATCAAAGCAAGCGCTCTTAGCCAGAACCCAGGTTACGATGATTTTCAAATTCCTAACGATGGAAGATCATCAGATCTTGATCATTTTACCTCTTGTATGCTTCAATCTGCAATGCTCTCTGTGAGTACAAGCAATTTATTTAATCAAACTCAACAATTTCATCAAGTTTGATCTCTAAGAACTTAATAGCTAGTTCCTTATGTGAGACCTTGAAATTCTTGAACTTCTCCTTGTTGAGTAACTCATAAAAACCTTTTGAATGTTTTTTTCAGGTGACTTTTAGATTGTGATAATTGGATTTTTATCCTGGAAATTCTCAGACTTCAATTATACTCCTTTCTTTGAAAAGTAATCCGTTGAGCTGCAAAAAAGGCAGTTCTAGAAATTTTTAGCAATCCTTCGAAGTTTTGTTTAGAACCATGGCTCTTCAATAAGCGGGAAGAGAAGGTGCTTCGCTGTAGAATCGAAAGGAGGGAGTGGCTAGTTCCCCATGGATGATCAGCTTTGGCATGGTGGCCATGCTGTACTTTTTGGAAAGGTAGAACTCCTCGTTCCCCCTCAAACGTTTTAAGGTTCGCATTGGCGCTACTGAGAGGGCGATGGATCGTCCCCACAAGAGGCAAGACTGCATTTTGTGAGATTTTCTGGCCTGAATCTTGGCATTAGAATTATCTGAATCGTTGCTCGCCGCTCATGGTGGAAAACTAGCTCTTGTGTCTGTGCCTGGGCAGAACAGCAATCCATGGGCCTATGCTTTCATCGAGCTGATTCACATGCTTCATGAGGCAACCTATCCACTCACATACTTCATGAGGCGTCGGTGGCTGTCATTCCAACTGCAGTCCAAAGCTCTGCTACCTCGACAAGGCTGCGGCAATAGACTTTCTTTCGTGAAGTTTTTGCCCAAAAACTCCACCTTCGAGTGACGAGCGCTTGGATCACCAGGGTAACTCATTTGGAGCAGTGGTATGAGCAAGAGTGAAAAGATTAGAACTGTGTTCACAGCCTACATCACTTGCCGAGGAGCTGCAACGCAGTTAGAGGGTGTCCTAAAGATGATGAAGGAGCAGCACAATTTCAAGCATTCGAGGAGGAACAGCAAAGGTAAGAACTTTCACTACACCAGTGGGAAAAAGTCCAGCAGGAGCTGCAAGAATCGATCGTTCAGTGGAAGCTTCTACAGGGACTTGTCTCAAACTTTCCATCCTCGTTAGATACACTGGAAGCTCAATTAAATGGATCTGTCGGGGATGAACAACAGCCGACTGGATCATTTTTAATAGGCCAAGAATGGCCTAGAACACTCTCATGGCAAAAAGGACTAACTTTGCTACAAAAGCAGCTCGAGGCTAAGCTACACAAGGTTGCACGTATATGCTACAGAAGCCATGGCAGTGGAAACTGTCATGACAACCGTGGGGAGACAGAAGCGCTGGCTTCAGAACGAGTGCATTGAGAAGCAGCTGGGATTTCGAACGCCCGTGACTCTGGGCGGAGGTGAAAGAAATACTGGCGCCTGGATCGTTCACGAGCGTGGAGGTCCGCTATGCAGACACCTCGAAGCTGATTGACAACGAGCTGCTCATTCTCCTTGACGAGTGCGGTGAAGGCCTGTCTCAACCAAAAACAAGGTTCAGGGGACTCCAACTTTGAACCCAGGGCTGCATCGGAGCCATAGATTAAATCATGCACAGCATATGGTATATGCTAGCAGTTAAAACCGCTAGCATTTCAAAAGGGGGAATCCAAATTATGGATCCCTATCTCCATTCCATCGTTTTTCTTATCAATACACAGCATTCTTTTACTCGTGCTTCTTCTCTGCCCTTGGAGATCGGGCCATTTTCTCTTTTGTTTTCTTACTAACAATAGATTTCCAGAGAAGAGGAGTTTTCTCACCTCTTCATTTGGCGACCATGGCTTCTGAATTCCCCTTCAGGTTCACAAATTCTTCCATTTTTTTCTCCATTCTCTGTGCGCAGATAGCAAGAACGATCCAGAAATCTACCCATCTTGCCCAAATTCGCCCAAAATACGCCCTAATTCGTACATTCGCCCAAATTCAACACGCAAATGCCACTGCCACCATGGATCAACGGCGTCCAAGCGGTTGCTGCCCAATGCAGTAAAGACAGAAACTTTCCAGAGGAGATTTTTGAAGAATCTGCAAGCTCTCTCTCGAGATCTCCAAGTCCAATCACCGACGGAGAACACCAACGACTCTCTTTGACAAGAAACTCCAATCTACCAGCACCTTCATCAGCAAATGCCCTTAGCAGCTTCATTGGCAAACTCCATCTCCGAGCACAAGACCACCCACTCCAAGTTCGAGACATCAACCAGCGCCCTCGACACAAACCGACACCACTACCGAAACGAACCCATCTTCTGTGCAATCGTCGACCCAGCAATCCTAGCGTTCCGACACAAGTCCAATTCCTGCGCCCACTCCAAATACCGAAGCACATCCTCAAAACCTACACCAACGACGAACCCATCACTTTGTTACCCGGTATTGGACAACTTGTCGAGGGACAACTTCACAACGCACCACCGATTTTTCGACAACCCCTCCGACAAAGTCAGCAGCTCAGCACTGAAACAACAGTCCGAACTCGGTTCGAACTCAACACGTTCGCTGCAACAACTCTCGCCAATCACGCCATCGCCCAATCCGGACTCGAACAACTCGACGACATTATCGAAGAAATCATTCCAGACAAACCCGAATATCCGAAACTCTTCATTGAACTCCATCTCGGCACCAGCACGTGGAAGACTAGTTTGCATACTGCACCAACACACTCGACCCAACACAACTCGGCTGACCACAACCCAACCCAACACACACCACCGTCGATATTTGCACTGAAAAGAAAGAACAAGCTCACGACGACTTTATCAACAATTGGCCCACCGACAGTCTTCCCAAAGTTCTGCCCGAACTGCATGATTGACTGCAGACACAAATCTGACACCGACAACCAGTAGAAGAATGCATGTATCCAAAACCATGAAGAACATCCAGCAAGTCGGAAGAAGACCGACAACGGCTTATCCGACGTTTAGATAGAGATTTGAAGAATTTAGAAATAAAGAGAAAGAAAGACCAAGAGAAGTTGAATCAAATTCTTAGACCCTCCAAGAGAGAGAATTACATCCGACACGAATTATTACCGCGAGCTAACTCCGACGAATCAGTATCGGACATCCGCAAAGAATACGACAACTACACAACACCACCGGACACACCACCGGCAGCACCCTCGACAGCACCCACCGAAGTGCCCGAGCCTGAATCAGCACCCTTGACGGCACCCACCAAAGTGCCCGAGCCCAACCGAACATTCGAGCAGTCGACACAGACTACGCCCGAGCAACAAAACATTTTTCAAGCAGCATACAACCACTTCAAAGGTACATTCACCAACCCCATCTATAGTGACAACGAACGACCAAGTTTCCCACCCAGCTTCACAGACTTCACCAGACCAGCACCATTTTCGCCATACCGACCGATCTTCACAACACCAATATATCCTACATTTGCTTCCAACATCTATCGAAGCCCGCTATCAGCAAGACCTTTCGAACACGCTTTCGACTTCAACGCACCGACGAGACAACAACTCGACTTCACCAATTACAGTTGCACTCCAATATACCCAGTCAGCAGCAGTAAAGACGAACAACCTGAATCGTCCAATAGTCAAGCACTCCACATCAACAACTCACATCGACCTGCCGAACAGCTACAATCATCCAACAACAACGAGATCGACGAACCAATTGTCGACGACAACAATCTTCCACAGCAACCACAATCACCACACAACTATACGATCGAAGAACTCTTTCACAATTTAAAAGAACAACCACAACCAACACAACATAACTCCGACAAGTACGTCGACAACAAGTTCGACCACCATCTTCCGAAAATCAACACCGGCAAGCAACCCGACACCGACGACTACGACGACGTCGAAGACACACCCGACAACAGTC